ACACCACTGTTTATTATAATGTAATAATGTGACTTAACTCTGCATTCACAGACAAATCATGGTCTATTTAGCTCAGCCCACTGATTCATACTGCTGGTAAATAACTAGAGAGGCAAATAAGCAGCACGCCAAATTATAAAGAAGACAAAACTATGCAGTGACAATATATGGAAAACATGTCCTTCCTTTTCATGGCAACATTAGGAGAAGGCAGATGAACTTTATTTTTAATAATAAGATCAGTTCATTGGTTCGTTTCACTGTGGTTTCGTGGTAATTCAACACTGAAACTGAAAGATGACTCTGCGCCCACTATATTGGATTCAGCAGTAAAAGTAGGTAAACTCTTTTAATTCCATGTGCACTATTGCTTTTTTCTTTTAACAGACTGATATAGTGAGTTCATTTGCATTTTAAAGTGAATCACAGCAGTGTCCATCTATGAAGGACGTAAACTGTCAAACATGCATACAGAAGATTTTATTAGTTGGTACACAGCTAAAAACATCGGAATATTTCTAAATATGCTGTAACTCTCAGCCAATAAATCAGTGGGCTTCAGAATCTACAACTACACCTATTAAAACTGTGTTATAGGATGAGGGGTCAAATAGGACAGAAGAAAACCCTCTTACTTTTAAATGATGAATTTTTATATTAAAATCATTGAATGTTCTGCCAAAGAATGACAGTGGCTTACACATCAGATGGCCTGACCAAATTTATAGCTAATTATGGCTTTGCAGTGAAACTACTGTAAAATTGCATTAACTGTAAAATAAAGTCATTTTCCATATGTCCTCAAGGTTGGTACCTGAGGTGTTCAGGTGCTGGAAGGTGGTGGTGATGAAGTGAAAGTCCTCAGAGTATGGAGCTGCTTGGTGCTGCTGGGTTTGTTGAACTTCAGATTCACCCCTCTCATTTTGAGAACCTGTACCCCTTGTAACCATTCCTGACTGGTTCCTCGTATGGAAGAAAAAGCATTTCTTAAGAATGATGGTTGCATTGTATTATGTTACCACCAGATTTAAGTTCTACAGGTGAGATAGCAGTGTAAATATAAATAATAATAATTCAGTGTCAAGAACAGGATAAGGCAGTCAAATGCTGTTTACAAGTTGTAGCATGTCACAAACATGTTATAAAACATTTCATATATTTTATATAGATAAGCATATATGGTATTAAAAAGTCTGTAAGTTTATTTTTGTTTCAAGATCTGTCTTAATGAGAAATACTAAAGAAAAACATTTTTTTTATTATATTAAAAATTAATATAATTAATTATTAATATAATTACTTCTAATTATTATATAAAAAAAATTATCTTATACCGATCCTAAGGTATGCATTTGGTTTTTTATTTACTTTATTTGTTTGTTTGTTTGTTTGTTTGTTTGTTTTTTAGGACAACAGTATCTCCAGCAGAAAAAAAATGCCCAAAAGTTTCATTTTAAATTGTAAAGAAATCTGTGTTTTTGAAACTAATGAAGACAGCAGAAGTCTATGATTCATTTTTATTATTTAGCCTGACATATTTACTACTCCAAAATAATTTAATCTTTCAAAAAAATAATTTATTGTCTTCAGAGGGGAAATATTTTGTTGTTTTTTACCCAGACATTATTTTAGAGTAGTAATCACAATATAGTGAAACCGTGATATTTTTATCCAAGGTTATCATACCATTATAGTCTTATACCGAACCATGCCTATTTGAAATCACTGGAAGGAGAGTACTGTAAATAGTGAGTACAGTTTAATTTTTGTGTGAACTGTCCCTTTAAGTGAGAAACATAAACACTAATATCTTAGAAGCTCGGGTAGGGTGACATTTAAAAAAGGAAGTAAATACTTTCTCTTTAAATGTTAACAAAAGAGTTTACATACAACGCTTTTAGAGATTATAGGACAACTGGAGACATCAATGTTTTTTTTCTACAAACACCAAGTCTATAGACTCTCTACCGGCTTGTTTGATATTTAGACAAAAAAGTAAATCATAAACCACACACACACAAACCATGTCTATAAAATGTTTATAATAAATGACATCAATCAGATTCAAGTCTGAATTACAATTGCACACCTTTTAAAAATAACAAATTATCTAAATAAATTAAATATTATATATTTTGTGCGCCTTTACTTAACGAAAATTTTATGTTCATAACTTGGGGAAAACCATGCACATGCTGCTCCTTCAGATTAACCACAAATCAATACATTTTCCAACTAAATAAACTAAACTCAAAAAACTATATTGCTTGTTCAGACTACTTATTTAAAATGAGCTGAAACAACACAACTCTTGAGATTTCATTGAGACAACTACATTTTTTGAATGTTCAATCCACATAAATGTGTTAAAATTGTTAACTTAATCAATTTGTGTTGTGACATGAATTAATAGTGTGGAACAGTGCATTTTTACAGTATAAAGCTTATATATATATATATATATATATATATATATATATATATATATATATATATATATAAACCTTAAATTATTCAAGCCTTTACCAAACAGCTACACTTCAGTGGATCTTGTATGCATGTGTGAAGTTTAAAACTGATTCAATGTGCTTTGAAATTTTTATAATTGTGCTGAGAAGAACATACAGTTTAAAGTCTTATTCCTCGTGGTGAATAGCAAACTTAGATAAAACAGAACAAAATAGAACAAAATCTAACATTTCGAAACATCAGCAGCTTTGCAAGTGGGTTTGGAATAAACAAGATGTGTTCAACACGTAAATAGTAATTTAATCACACTCTAAAAAACGCTGGGTTGGTTTTTTAACCCAAATGCTGGGTTGAGACTGCTGGGTAACAAAATTGGGTTGATTCAACCCAGCAGTTTTTAGAGTGCATACATAACGTACATGACGTAACCTCATTTGATCAAAACTACAGTGAACCTATCGAACGGGTTTGGCCGCTTTATGCACTTCCTAAAATGAACCAGGAATTTTTGAAAGTACAAAACATTTCTTACCTTTGTGGGCATAAAAATCGTCACCTCCTGTACGTCACCAATGTACAGCAGAATGTGAGGTGACAGTTAGAAATTTGACACACTGTAAAATCAACGCGAATACAAGTCCTGTCGTGAGCCAAAACTGCTGACATGATTGTTCCAGCAAGACTATAATGACGACAAACCCGTCCACAAATCGTCAAGACTTCAACAGTGTATATTGGAAACAAGAACAATCTCTAAAAACTGAAAGAGTCGGATATTCTCGAGGGAGTCGCGAGGGCCAAACTCTGACGCAAAACAACACAAAAAAAGCTTCGCAGATGTAGTAGTCTAACGAGAGCAATAGGTCGTTTGGCTTGGTGTGTTATTATTTTCCTGAAATAAAAGCGCTGAGAAACGCCTCGGTCGCACGTTTGGCTGTTTGGTGAGTTGACGCAAATTCTAGGAAGCGCGTTCCAAGAAGCGCGTACATCTGAGCGCGCGCGCGGCCGCATCGCTCCTTCGCAGAACTGCGCTCTCGAGCCGCAGCGCTCCCATTGGCTGCTGCGCGCCGTTGATAAAGCGCCCTGACCGGTTTCAGCTGCGGATGAGTTTCCCGGTAAAGAGCTTTCCAGGAATGCTGAAACAGTGGCTGAAATTGACCTCTGCGCCTCTTGCTGCAGCATTGCACTGAGAGATCCCTGATGATGGTGATTATGCATGGGGTGGTGTGACTGCAAGGTAAGTCGGATTCCAGAAAATGTGAACTGCCAGAATAGTTGTTATGTATCTAACATCTTGCTTAAGGATAGTGCTGGTTGGGTTTCAAAAACACACACTGGAAAGCAATACATGGAAAACTAAACGAATAACTAAATAATATATTTCTAAATGTTATATTATAAAACATAATTTGGTAACACTTTAGAATAATTGTCAATTAGTTAATGCATTTACTAAAATTAACTAAGTATGATTATTCTTGTAAAGCATTTATTTTTGATTATAGATCAACATTAAATATACATTAATAAAAACCACATTTTGCTTTTTAACATTAGTTAATGCACTGTTAATTGACTTAAACTAACATTTAACTTACATAAATAACCTTAACTAGATAAATTAATACCGTAATAAATGTATTTCTAATTGTTTGGTTATGCTAGTAAATACATTTACTAAAATTAACTATAATGGACCATTATTTTAATGTGTTGCAAAATAATTTTAATGTCTGACAATTTTTATTGTGTTTTTACTGAACTTTAAATGTACGTGGATCAAATGTACTACTTTTTATGAATTCAGTGTGATTTGTGTAATGTTTTTCAGCTTTACAGTTATTAGATCAGGGGTTTTAAAACTGTTTGATGTTTGGGAATGCTCTGGTTCCATGTAGTGTTTAGAGAATAAGCATTTACAGCTGTAAAACAATATAAAGATAAATCATAATTAAAATAAATAAAATGATGATTTAATAAAATAATTAAATATACCATTTAATTCAGTTGGAAAATAATGTATGGTAAGAAACTCGAAAATATTATTTTAAGCCCAGTTTAAAAATCCCTGCATTAGATACTTATTCAACTTTAATATATAATATAACTGAAATATATACAGTTAGAGGCAAAATAATTAGCCTTCATGTAAACTTTCAATTCTCATAAAAATAATTATTTGTTGTGCTGTTTAACAGAGGAAAGGCATTTTAAATCATAATAATAATCAGTTTATAATAGTTATTATTATTTTTTCTTTTTTTAGCCATAATGACATTACATGACATTTTACAAGTTATTTTGCAAGATATTCAGCTTAAAGTGCAATAAATTCCTAATATTTACTCTCAAAAATATGCAGAAAAAATTTAAAGGAAGAAAGAAAAAATATTATATGAAATACTGTGAATTTTTTTTTGCTTCATTTAACATAACACACAAAATCATCGTTTTTTTAAGTCAAAATGTGCTCTGCTAAATGGTTGAGCGCCCTGATAAAATTACTTTTAACAAGACAAGAAAAGATTTAATAAGACAGATTAATGTATTTTATTGGGAATTATTACATAAAAATCATCACCTAAACAACACCTTTATGTGGCCTTGTAAACCATGCCAGAATATGTATCAGAGTGAAAGGAGATTATCAAAGTCAAACATAAAAAATGATAACAAGGAAAGGTACAGCTTAAGCAAGAAACTGGCTACAGAGAAATGAGGGTGAAATGAAACGTGTATTAGATGTCATTTAAAATGTTTTGTTTTTACTGTAGGCCTATGAGTCTAGCTCTCATCTCCATTCTCTCCAGCTCCTCTGATGAGCCGCTTGTTCCCTCGTTTCCCTGTTGGGCCTTTTGGCTTGCTGAAGGCTTGCCTCAGCGCATGGTGTTTCGGGTATACCTCTTCATACAGAAAATCCTCCGTCAGCCCGTCTCCACTTTCAATCTCCATCTACATACATACATACACACACAGTGAGAGATTACTTAAATTACCTAAAGAATTAAAAGTAAATGTCAAAAGGTAGCTTTGTGAACTTTCACTAACTTGCAAAATTGTGGGAGCAGTACAATTAAAAACAAATTAAATATATCAAAAGTAAAGTAATTTCATCATAGAATGATTTCTGGATGATCATGTGACTGAAGACTGCACTGTAAAATATATCCTTAAATCAGCAGTTTTCTGTATTTTGTGATTCATGTTTTTGTTTTTTCCATATTTATTTAGGCTTTTAAATTGGATTATGGGACCTTGATCTTTCTTCCAATAACATTTAACCTTGAAACTTTAGAAAAAAAAGTGACTTTCATTGACATTTTTATTAGTTTAAAGTGATATATTGTCTGGGTCAGTGTATATTATGTGTATATTATTGTATATTATGCTACAAAAACCTTATAAAAAAATCTTTATTTTATGTTACTTTTAGACTTATTACTCTACATATTATTTATATTTTTTCAAACTACAAAAAATTTAATAAAAGTCACTTTGTCAAACTGTAGAGTTGAGTTTTAAGCATCAAAAGTCGACAGAGCAGAGATCAAGGTCCTATAATGCAATTCACAACCATAAATAAATGGAAACTGGTAATTAACAATTTTTTTATGGTGGAGTGATAATGCTAAAAAGTTCTTAGTGATGGTAATAAATTATATTTTTAAATATATTAAATAGAATAATATTTTAAAGTAGTACCCTTTACAGTGTTTGTTGATCAAATAAATGTGCATAAGAAGCTTTCTTCAAAATCATTGAAAAAAAAAAACTACCAAACCAAATAGTTTGAAGGGTAACGACTATAAAAATAATCGATAATATATAAAAAGCAATAAATAAATGTGACAATTTTGCAAAAATAATTCCATACAATGCAAATATATTTTAATAATGTAATCATTATTATTATGCATCTATTCAATAATTTTCCTTCAGGTTTGTCCCTTTATTCATCAGTGGTCACCACAGTGGAATGAGCCGCCAACTTATCCAGCATAGGTTTTACATAGTGGATGCCCTTCCAGCTGCAACCCAGTACTGGGATACATCCAAACACTCTCATTCACACACATACACTACGGACAATTTCAGTTCATTCAATTCACCTATATAGCGCATGTCTTTAGACATGTGGGGGAAACCGGAGTAGCTGGAGAAAATCCACGCCAACACAGCGAGAACATGCAAACTCCACACAAAATCATTTTCTTTATCAATGCAAAAATGATGTTGTTTTCCATGTTTAGAGCTGGCAATGTTCTTCCCAGTATATAGATTGATAATTGACTGCATCTTGAACAGAATTGTATCTATCTACTCACACTTGTAATTTTATTTTGCATGTTTGTTTGGATGGCCATGTGGGTTTTTTAGTGTTGCTGTAATTTGTTTAGATCAGGGGTGTCTAAACTCGGTCCTGGTGGGCCAGTGTAGAGTTTTGTTTTATATAATATATAAAAACACTGTAAAACTGCTTCATTTATGTCTTCCCATTGCATAATGGGAGCTTGGTCTCTGCTCCAACAACTTTTGATGTTAAAAAATTGATCGATTTATTCATTATTTTTTCAGCTTAGTCCCTTTATTAATCTGTATTCGTCACAGCGGAATGAACCGCCAACTTATCCAGCATATGTTTTACGTAGCTGATGCTCTTTCAGCCGCAATCCAACACGGAAACACCCATACACTCTCTTTCACACACATACACTACGGCCAATTTGGCTTACGCAATTCATCAATATATCACATGTCTTTTGACTGTGGAGGAAACCGGAGCACCTGGAGGAAACCCACGCAAACGTGGGCAGAACATGTAAACTCCACACAGAAATGCCCACTGACTGAGCAAAGGCTCGAACCAGTGACCTTCTTGCTATGAGGTGATCGTGCTACCCACTGCGCCATTGACATAGTTATGTATTAAAACAGTATATTTTGTAAGAAACTATGTAAAAATCTTTAAAATAGCAGAAGCAACACCACCAACTCATTACTTGGTTTTTATAAAGCAGTTTAGCATAAACTGTCATTTAATCTACTAAAAATGCTTATTTGAAAAAAAAAATATCTAAATTTATTGGGCCAGAGATCAAGGTACCATTTTGATTATATACACAGATTATATTTTTACCAGTTTTTATCATTTTTTGTTATTATCATAAATAGTTTAACTGCAAATTTATTCCCCTTTAACACAGCTCACTTTGCTGACAGTTGTTTATAGACTCAACTATGATTTGACAGTATTTTTTGTGGAATGTCCTATTAAAAGTTCAACCCAAACTATTGTGATTTTATTTGTTAGCACAGTAAAAATGTAAAACTTTTAATAACACTATTTATTTATGACAGATTGACTAGTAACACATATATATATATATATATATATATATTTTATTATCCATTTTAGTGTAGCTACAGCACTCTCAAGTAAAGTTAAAGAAATACTTGTAGTCAAGTTGACATGCTTGCACTCTTTTATTAGGTCAAAGTTTAGATGTTTAGAAAGCTGTGTTGAAAAACAAGCTAGTCATGTGCCAAATGATACACTATATACACACTATGCACTTACACACGACATACTTGTGTATTATGCACTTAACTGTCTATTATATAAAATTTATATGCTTATGCCAATCATCATTATGTCTGCAAACCCCTCACCCACCACTGTGTTAATTTAATAAATAGTTCACACACAAATACAAATTCTGCCCTGATTTACTAACCCTCCACTTTTTTCAAACTTGAGTTTCCTTTTTTTCTGTTGAACATAAAGGAAAATGTTGGAGAAAAAAACAGCCATTGACTTCCATAGGGTTTTGTGTTCCTACAATGGATCTCATTAGCTACTTTTTCCCAACATTCTTCAGAATGTCTTCAGAATGTAATATTTTGTGTTCAACAGAAAAAAATTAAAAAGTTCAGAACTGTTTGAGTCTAAGTAAATGATGAGGAATTATTCATTTTTGGGTGAACTCTGCCATATAACGTCTGATTTATGAAAATATATGCAAATTAAATATATGAAATGATATGATATATGATATGATATGATTTGATATGATGTGATACAATATGATATATTATATGATATGATTCAATACAATATGATATGATATATGATATGATTTGATATAATTTGATATGTTACAATGGGATATATAATATGATATGATACGATACAGTGTGATATGGTATGATAGGATTTGATATGATATGATATGGTACGATACAATGTGATATATATATGATACGATGTGATATGTCATATGATATCATACGATATGATTCAATATCATACAATATGATGTGATACAATACCATACGATGTGGTATGATATGATATGATTTGATGCGATGTGATATATAATCAGTGCTTAATTTGAGCCGTATAAAGCTAAAGTCATGATAACTATTGGCCCTCAACAATATTTTTATCCAATCAGCTTTCTTATGTTTACAATCACTCTCATTGGTTGGTGATTGTTTCGCGCACAGTGAGCAGCGAAAATAAATAATGGCATAGTGACCTGCGTGGATAATATCTGTATTTTCAAAATGCCATAAAGGTAGTTAGGCATTTAATCTTTTAAAACCACAAGTAAATCTGATAATGAGCCTGATCAAAAGATCAAGAAGAAGAAACTGTGATCAGGATAGCTGGAGACAAGCGAAGCAATCTCAAGTCAGACAGAAAACATGACAGTACAGCTAATGTGAGCTCTTCTTGAAGTCTTCTTGAGTGAGTCATTTAATGATTTTTTTCGCTTGGTACATGATAGTGTAGTGAGCTGAAGAGTGATTGTTCATACGATTTATGTTTGTAGCTTGTTTTTATTATCCATGACTGGCCTATTACGTTATATGGCACAAAATAATTAAAGACAGTTAAGAAATATGATGCTCTTTTTTGCGCTATCACCGTTTAATGATGTCATGTTCATGGAAAACTGAACTTTTTTGATGGACGTTGGTCACGGTAACTTTTATTTCCTGGTTTTGTTCTTGGAATTATTCATTTACAAATTAAGCACTGTATACGATACAATGCAATACGATATAATATAATATGATACAATATGATATGATATGATATGATTTGATAAATTTTTCTGTTTACTTTTTTATTTAGATCATCACCTTTCATCAGATTTGTCCAAATTTATACCCAATATATATTCATATATCCAATGGTTATAATATGTACAGTTGAAGTCAGAATTATTAGCCCCATTTAGATTTTTTTTCTTTTTTAAAATTTTGACAAATGATGTTTAACAGGGCAAGAAAATTTTCACAGTATGTCTTATAATATTTTTTCTTCTGGAGAAAGTCTTATTGGTTTTATTTTAGTTAAAACTGTTTTTAATTAAAAAAAAAAAAACAATTTAAGGTCAAAATTATTACCCCTTTTATACTATATAATTTTTCGATTGTCTACAGAACAAACCATCATTATACAATGGCTTGCCTAATTGCCCTATCCTATCTAGTTAACCTAATTAACATAGTTAACCCTTTAAATGTCACTTTAAGCTGTATTGAAGTGTCTTGAAAAATATCTAGTACAATAGTATTTACTGTCATCATGACCAAGAAATAATACATCAGTTAATAAAAATGTGTTACTAAAACTATTATGTTTAGAAATGTGTTGAAAAAATCTTCTCTCCATTAAAAAACAGGGGGCGAATAATTCTATCTTCAACAGTATATATAACCAATTTTTACAATATTTTAAATACACCGTAAAAAAAAAAATGCTGGGTTCCACACAATTAAATCATGTTCAACACAAATGGATTAGCTTCACTGAACTAATTTAAGTGGATTAAGATAAAACAATTAAGTTGTCCCAAAATAATCTTAAGAGTTGTGTTGTTTCAGCTCAATTTAAATAATTATTTTAAAATAAAATATTTTGGAGTGTATATATTGCATATATGGCATATATTAAATATATGTGATCAGATTTCTATATGAGATCCCTTTAAGGCTACAACAACTCGAGTATGAAGACTCCCACATGCCACACTTATCAGTTAATTGACTGCATTATCTTGAGTTCTTATGTTCAGCAATTTGTGTTAGTGTACCTTTTTGGCGATCTCTATGTGATAGTCTCTTTCGACCTCATCCAGCAGTCGATTCTTACAGCTGGAGTAGAGCATCCTTTCTTTAATGCTACAGCTATACCCAGGCATGGAGTAGATGAAAACTGCTCCACATATACCAACACAAACATGACCAACATTAGCTTTGAAGACAAAAAACATCAACTGGAACGAGGTCTATAGTGATACTGGCACTAACCTACAGCTTCCAGAGGCTGTCCTTGATGTGCGTGCTTGTAGAGAAAGAAGTGGTATCGCGGGGCATCAGTGGGGATTCTGCTTGGCAGCTCTTTGGTCTCTGTTGGACTAGTGTGGACCAGTTCAATAGTCTCTCGTTCAGTATCTAGCCTCTTAAAGATGATACAAAAAAAGCTTAATATAGTAAAAAAAACAAAAGCTTAATCATTCACTACCATTCAAAAGCCTGTGTGCAGTAAAATCATACACTCAAAAATGTGTTTGCTATTTGTTCAAACCACTTATTTAAAATAAGCTGAAACAACACAATTCTAGAGTTTATTGGCACAATTTAGGTGTTTTATGTTCAGTCCACTTAAATTTATTTGTTAACAACTCGACTGTCTGGAACCCAGCATTTTTCACAGGGCACACAATTCATCCAGATTGTCCCAACACAAATCAATTAGGCTGTCAATTGAACATAAAACAGTTAAGTTGTCCCAAAAAATCTCAAGCTCAAAGTATCAGCTGATTTTAAATACGTAGTTTGAACACACAGCAAAAGATCATTTTTGAACGTATTTCTAAAACTTAAATTGCATTAATTGTGTTCAGTAATTGTGCAAAGATGGATTTAATCGATTAAAAGCTTTTATGTTTCTAATAAATGCTGTTCTTTTGAAATAAAGTATTCATCAAAAACCCTGAAAAAAGCATCAGTGTTTTCACTAATATATTAGGCAATGCAGTTTTTTAACACCTTTAATAATACACATTTCAAGAGAAGCAAATCAGCATACTAGAATGATTTCTGAAACATCATGTGACACTGAAGACTGGAGTATACACTCTATATTGTGCTTAATCGCATGGCTCAAGATCATTTTAAGTGCTACTTGGCACCTATATATTTTCTTTCTTTAAACTTAATATATTTAAAGAATAGCACCTTGACCATCTAAAGAGCAACTAAAGAAAAAATATAGTGTTATATAATATTTTAAAGAGATATTATAGTTAAAGTAAAAACTATACTATACTATACTATACCATTCAACACTACACTACACTATACTACACTACATTACAATATACTTCACAACAATATACTAGACTACACCATACTATACTTTATTACACTACACTATACTACACTACACTATACAATACTATACTACACTATAGTACACTACACTATACAATACTACACTATACAATAATACACTTCACTAAACTATACTTTACTACACTACACTATACAATACTACACCATACCATACTACACTATACTATACTATACTAAACTATACCATACCATACTACATTATACTATAATATGCTACACTACACTACAACATACCAGACCACACCACACCATATTACACTGTACTATACTATACTACACTACTCTACACTATACTAAGATATACTCAGCTTTAAGTGGTTTCAAATCTTTTCGGAGTTTCTTTCTCCTGTTAAACACAAAACAAAACAAAGTATTTTGAAGAAAGCTAAAATCTTGTAACCGTTGACTTCATTGCGAAAACAAATACTGTGGAGGTCAATGGTTACAGGTTTCTAGCTTTCTTAAAAATGTCTTGTTTGTGTTTAACAGAATAAAACCACATGAGGGTGAGAATTTTGACTTTTTAGAAACTATCCATTTAAATTGGTTCCCCTTTGATTACAAGTCAAAGACACACTTAGCAGTACTAAAAGACATCACATCTATCACAAAGAGCTGTTGAAGAACTAATTTGTATGTATATATATGTGTGTGTGTTTTTAAATACTTTATTTTAATCTTACAGACACCAAAAATTTAAACAATAGTTAATGTTTATCACCTAATAAATAGTGTAATCATTGTATAGCCTGTCTTCTTGTATAGCCTGTTGTATGTGTATAGATAGGTATCTTATAGTATGTTGGTTATGCAGAGTTTTTTAAAAATTGCTCATATGTCCAGTGTTGTGCTTGTATTTATGATTTATTTATGTAGCACCATCATTTGCAGAGAATCCTGTTTTATTTAATCAGAAATATACACTAAAACAGCAATATGTCCACTTATATTATTGCCATCATTTCAGTTGAACATTTAACCACAGGATAACCTGTTTTAGTCTGCTTATTTTATGAATGGCTTTTTAATTCTGCACACCATGCACTGGTAACAATATATGTAAGTGTCAGTCTTCTACACAATTTAGTGAATGTGTGTAGCACTTACTAGTTGAATGTAATTGATGCGCTTGTGTTTAAACTGCTGTAAAGCATGTTTAGCCTCCTCCTGCAATGGGAATGCTAAACCCTGCAAAGTCGGGTTTTTACTCTCCACGTTGATCTCTGTCTGTATCCAAAACACAGAACACACATGAACTCTTTTTATCACGAGACAAACTATGTTAACAATATGTTTTAATCCAAATAGAAAACAACTGGTGCTACCTTTCCTTGCCCACTAACAGTGGCAACAGGGCGAACAATTCTTCGCTCGTCCTAAACAGAAGAATACAAGAGATTTTGAGAAAATCCACTTAAAGGGATAGATCACCCAAAAGGAATATTACCTCATTATTTACTCTCCCTTGTTGTGCTTTTAAACCAATTTGAGTTTATTTCTTCTGTTGAACACAAAAGAAGATATTTTGAAGAATGCTGGTTGCTTGGTAGTAAAACAATACAAGGGAAGTTATCTTGTGTAGTGTACCAATATATTTTAAAGTATCTTCTCTTGTGTTCAACAGAACAAAGCAACCAAAGTAGGTTTTAAACAAGTGAAGGGTGAGAAAATAATGACAGAATTGTCAGTCTTGGGTGAACTATGCCTTTAAAAAACACTCCTCCAAACAAATGAACAATAGCACACTTACCCGTGCCACTTTGTCCTGTCATCATGTGCATTATTAAGACACATATTTATACATTAGATATTAGTGTCAGACAAAAAGATTGAGTTTTTTTATGATTTAAACATATATGTGTCCATCCTCACCTCTGTGATTTTGATCTGATGAAGCTGTTGCTCAGCAGTGGTGAGGGGAGCTGGGCAGGAGGAAGAAGACAGGTGTCGTAGATAACCTTGAAAAGAGACGTCTTCCTGCAGGGCGTAATAGTAATAAACAGTGCTTAGATAGCACATTGTGATATGAAGGAAAAAGTTTAAAGGTGATAGCAGAGCACATGCAAAACAGTAAATATGCTCGGTTTACTGCTGCAAATCTGAAAATATAAATACTTAATCATATAAATAAAACAAATTAAATTAAAGTTAAACTCTAATATCTGATTCCTCAAAGAACCTTCCAGTTCATTATAATTAAAACAAAATCTTAAAATGTTAATACTAATAAAGAACCATATTCCAATGATTTTTGTGTGTAATGGAAAGATCATATGGGGATGGAAAGTTTGTTCCAATATGCCAATAAAATAAAACTTCATTTTTAAGAGTGTGTTATAATTAAGTTAATGAAAGATCACTTGCCAGGAAAATTGTAAAATGTTCCGTTTTGATTGGTCAGTCCTGAAATTCAGGTATCAAATAATGTAAAACACTTAATAACAATTGATTATAATTTGTCAGTGGCAAAATCATATTCTGAAAATGTGTTCTTTTGTAAGGTGGTTAAAATGTAAGGTGGGACTTGATTCATCCACTGGGAGTGGACTTGATCAGGTTGTTGCTATGTATTATCAATTGATTTTATTTCAGTGATAGGCCTATCATCAGAGCAAAAAGATGAGGATTATGATGCAAAAGTGAAGGATGCTATTTTAATTAAAGGTTAAGTTATGACATGGACTTTTCCTATGACTAAAAAAAGTATAAAAACCTTCGAAAAATATTTTGTTTATTTGGTGAGTGGGCAGCATGGTTGCGCAGTGGAAAGCACAATCGCCTCACTGCAAGAAGTTCGCTGGATCGAGCCCCGGCTGGGTCAATTGTTTCTGTGTGGAGTTTGCATGTTCTCTACATGTTTGCGTGGGTGTGCTCTGGTTTCCCCCACAAGTCCAAAGACATGCGCTATAGGGGAATTGGGTAAGCTAAATTGTCAGTAGTCTATGTGTGTGAATAGGTGTGTGTGGATGTTTCCCAGTAATGGGTTGCAGCTTGAAGGGCATCTACAGCTTAAAAGATATGCTGGATTAGTTTGTGGTTCATTCCACTGTGGCTACCCCAGATTAATAAATGGACTAAGCTGAAAAGTAAATAAATGAATGTGGTGAGTGGTGACTAAAAAAAAATCATTACATATGTACACTACCTGACAAAAGACTTGTCGTCAATCCCAAATGTAAGAGCAACAAATAATAACTTCTAGTTGGTCATTTGGAAAAGTGACAGATTTTTCTGATGAATGATCTGTTGAACTGCATTCCAATCATCACAAATACTGCAGAAGATTGGAGCCCGCATAGACCCATGATTCCCACAGTCAAGTGATTGGTGATGGAAAAATCATGGTTTGGGATTACATTCAGTATGGGTGCGTGCGAGAGATCTGCAGAGTGATTGGCAGCATCAACAGCCTGAGGTATCAAGACATTTGTGCATTTGTGTGTTCTATACTGTACATTATTTCTGTTAAGTGACAAAACTTTTGTCTGAGCAAATAAGTCAGATCGTACTGTCCTAATTAAATAATCAAAATCAAGACATGATCATATCTTAATTTGGTAAAATAAGCATGATCTAGAGCAGTGGTTCCCAACCTGGGGTCCGCGCCCCCCTAAGGGGGGCGCCAGAGTTCACAGGGGGGGGGCGCGGGAGAGGATAAGTATTAAAGGGTCACGAAACACCAAAACACATTTTTTGAGCTGTTGACAGTCGTATATGTGTCCCACACTGCTAAAAACACTATTAGGACACCTATATTTCACTAAAAAGTGTAAATTGGTTGTTTTTGCGTTATTTCAAGCAAATTCGTACTTCCTGTTTGAAACGAATTTTTGAAGCTGCGTCACGGCCATGACATAATAGCGTGTATTCCAGCGTGCAGACTGGGCGTCTGTACCAGAGTGTGTCTTATTACGTCTTACAGTGTGATGCATTAATGCATGAGTAAAGCTTGGTTCAAACCAATCAGCGCGCTCTACTGTGCAACTTCATTAATATTCATTTGTGTCACCGTGTTTACACCACAAAGACGCCACGTTGTGTTGGCAAAACAAGCGTGAAGTGTTGCTTTTATAGTTTGCTGCCGTTAAGTTTCGTTTTCATTTTCTCTCTGTGAGAGAACTGGATCACGTGTGGATTACAGTGTACGCGACGCTCGACAACAATAACTTACGTGTCTAAGGGGGATTATTGTTTACCTGAGAGCTGTTCTCATCTGCAAACGCTGAAATCCGGATTCGCTTGTAGTATTCTCTCCATATAGACGCGGCTCTAGTTGCTGGTGATTGTCCTGTCTCTACAGATTTGGTAAGTAAGCGACCAGTGCTCTTTGTTTATTCAGTTTGTTCGTATCGAATTAAGTTAACTATTGCACTGAGTACAGAAATGTTAGCACCGCATTTTGTGACCGGAATAACACACGCGGCTTTCTGACACTACCTGCCGTGTGCATCTAAGTTTCCGGAAAATGCGGAGGTTTTTTTTTCTCTCATTCGCCGTGCGGTATCAAACATTGCATGAAAAATACACGCTTAGAGCAGTTCCTCGAATCAAATATCTCGTTTGTCGCGAGAGGCATGAATGAATTCCCTGAATGAAAGAGCCAAACTGCAGTTAAAGTCCAACATTTAATAATTTGGCAAATAATTCGACTACAGATGTCCATGTAGGTTAAACACCATCACTTTCTCCTGTCTGTGTGGGTGTGTATTTTGACTCTGAAACTCGCGCTTGCACAAATAGACACTCCCACACCCGCCCACTTTAGTTCCTCCGACACTCCCCCCTAAACAGAGCTGGACACGCCCACTTTTCTGACTTTTTCCAAAGTAGAGGTGTGAAAACACCCTGCTGAAATGAGGGGGTTTCATGGCCCTTTAAGGTAGAAAAAGGCATAAAAATGCTCCACTATTATAAAGGGCTTTGCAATTAATCGAATATCCGATTTAGATTTCAGTTTCAAACAATTATAAAAAAGCATTAATCGAGATAAATGATTATTGCATCATATTTTGCCACGTTCCAATTGTACACGCTCTTAAATGTCTCTTAAAAGCGCGAAAGAGCTTATGTGTGTGTGCAGCACGATCACGCAGTCAGAAGCATGCGGCCGGTCTGCATTCACTCTCATTCACACACTGAGACGAGCAGAGGAGCGCAGACATCTAAAGTCATCTAAAGTGAGCACTTTAATGGTCAAATAGGTGTCAAAACGCGGTGTTTAGTGATTATGTACATTAACCCTAATTTGTGTAATAAACAAACGAATTGAGGATCAAAAGACGTGAAAGAGAAACCATTAAAGAGACAGTGCGCTATAATCCTTCTGCCGCCTGTGTTTATCATTATTATACAAACATAACGAGAAAACCCTCGCTGCTCTTGACTGAAGGACTGCTGTAGCTAAAGTGTTTTTCTTACAGTGAAGATGCTTAAAGCACAGTTTGTTTTATATTTTTATTCTATTGTATTTATTTCTCTTAAAATAACTGTATGTATACAATTGAAGTCAGAATTATTAGCCCTCTTGAATATTAGCAACCCTTTTCCTGCCCAATTTCTGTTTCATGGAAAGAATATTTTATTAACTTATTTCTGAACATAATAGTTTTGATATCTCATTTCTAATTACTGATTTCTTTTATCTTTGCTATAATGACAGCACACATAATATTTTACTAGATATTTTTCAAAATACAAGCATTCAGATTAAAGTGCAGTTCAAAGGCTTAATTAGAGTAATAAGGCAAGTCATTATAACGGTAGTTTATTCTGCAGACAATCAAAAATATATATTGCTTAAGGGGGCTAATAATATTGACCTTAAATTGGTTTCAAAATATTTAAACCTGTCTTAATTCTAGCTAAAACAAAACAAATAGAAGAAAAAATATTATAGGAAATACTGTTAAAATTCCTTGCTCTGTTAAACATAATTTGGGAAATATTTATTAAAAAAAAAAATCTCAAGAGTGCGCTAATAATTTTGACTTTAACTGGCAATGGTTTTGAATAATCGTGATTACAATTATGACCAAAATAATTGTGATTATGATTTTTCCCAAAATCGAGCAGCCCTACTGTTATATATGTATTTTTAAGTACCAAAAAAATAAATAAAAATCTAAAAGCATGCTTAAAATTCCAACATAATAGTGAAAATAATTAAAATAAATAACTTTAAATAATTATTTAAATTTTGCTCACTCGCGCAATCTGCTTGTCAACGTGTCGTAAAGGCAAAATCAAAACAAAAATGGCAGACAAACGTAAATGCAGTGATTCTTCAGAGGCGAAGAAAAAGATTAGACAGTATGACAAAGCCTACCTAAATTTTGGTTTTATAGAAGGCCAAGACAAGTTAAAACTGATTAATTAATATTTTCTATACATATTACTATATATTAATATTACACAAACACACACACACACACACACACACACACCCACACACACACACACACACACACACACACACACACACACACACACACACACACACACACACACACACACACACATATATATATATATATATATATATATATATATATATATATATATATACACACACACACACACACACACACACACACACACACACACAGTACATATGTATGTGCGTGCGTGTGTATTTATATGGTGGGGGGGGCTCCAATGTTTGTATATGTTCATGGGGGGGGCCCCAAAGAAAAAGGTTGGGAACCACTGATCTAGAGGCCTTTGCCTTTTATATAAGCCACTTCTGATACCAAATGATCAACTAAGTGAAGTTATTATTTGTTGCTCCTAAATCTTGGATAGGCATCAAGACTTTTTCAGGTAGTGTAGGCCTAAATATAATAAAATTAATTAAAATAAAAAAAATAATAAATAAACACTGTCTACATACCTGGACTGTTCCAAACACTTCATCATTTATGTGGCTTCCCCCAAACTCTTTCTTCAGTGTGGCTCGAGTGGCAGCATAAACCATCTTTAACCTCACCTGTGTGGAGTAGAATAAGTGGCCACTGCTGTTATTCAGAAAGGCAACTCACTTGTTTGTTTTACCCAATGGGTAAATATGTCTTTACCCAAAGGGTAAAAAATGTCCATTTTATTTATAGAGTGTGAGAGCGCTTCAGTTTATCGTTTGTTTCCTACGTACTGGAGACTGGTCTGGTGACCAGGAGATAAACAGCCACTCATATCCCAGCTGGTTGTGTGAGTCGAGCCGGTACAGGATATAACAGGGTTCTAGGCCATCCAGCATAGGCAAAACACATGCGTCATAGTCCTGATCCCAGCTCTGAGAAACCTCTCTGTATGCTCCCAACACCAGCTGCTCTGAAACACACACACACACATACACACGTCATAACACACACAGAGACTACTTACAGGAACCTCAGATAAACATGTCGGCTATCAGTCTGAATCCAAAAACAGAACAGTTATCAAACACTGCATGTACAACATTCCACAACTCCAAATCTTCAGCTTTTACTTGACATTCTTAAAGGGATAGTTCACCCAAAAATCAAAATTGTGGTTTGAAACTTTGTTTAAAACATCTTCTTTTGAACAAAGAACGTGATTTTCTGAAAAATGTTGGGGAAAAATTCAGACAGGGAGAGTAATGATGACAATTTTTATATTTGAGTGCTATCACTTTAAGAGTAAGCAAGTGATCACAAAAAGGTTTGGATTGTTTTGCATTACATAGAAAATCAATCAAAGTAGAAAAGTAAATTATTATAATTTTAGCAGTCTCATGAAAATATAATATTAGAGTTGTAAATGACCAAACATGATGAACACCATGCAGTGTGAACTTGTAAACTTCAGGATACAATTAAATTATTAAGGTTTTAAGATACTTTTGTTTGTACAATATATATAACAAATGTACAAATTCAGTCTGGACAGTAAATTGTGGACAAAACTGCAATGAGATAATTACAATGAAAAGAAATAAATTCAAATTCAAATTACATGTTGTTTCAGTGAGTGTGTGTATATATCATACACACATGACTGTATTGTAATCCCGGAAGATTAAGATGGTCTTCCTGACCAATAACTTTTATGCTGTCTATACCAAGTGCATGTACTTGGATTTAAGCTTTGCTTTTGTTTCAAATCCATCCATACCATAATCCCGAATCCCGATGATATTTTCTAAAACAGCTGTATAAACCAACATCATAATACCCTTATTCACTATAAAGATGTATTCAGGGTGGTGCAGACAAATGCAGACATTTTTATTGTGTTTATCAAGTAACTATTCTATTCTATATAGTATTAAGTGCATCTTTATTTATTTTTTTAATTAAGTTTAAAATGTCATATTACACAAAACAGTACAAAGTGTTTTAGTACATTAGTCAATACAACAAAATAAGTGTACTTCCTTAAAGGATGGCAAAACACTAAAAAAAGATTATGCTTTAATGCACTTTAAAATTAAAACCTTTTTATTAAGCTTTATTTTTGAATTGTACTTTACAGTAAACAGTAATGAAAGTGTACCCACTTTTAAAATGGCAAATGATTCTTGTTCTGAATATTCATGTCAAGATATTTTGGTATTTGAACCGAATAAACTAAACTGTTACACAGAATGACATTTCTGTTTATCTTGGTGAATAACATTTCATGTTCTGATACACACATATATTTAAAAGAGAAAAAAATGGAAAATATTTCAAAATTTTATATATGTAGTACTGTTTAAAGTACTGTTAAGAGAACATTTTTAAACATAATAGTTTTAATAACTCATTTCTTCTTTGACATGATGACATTACACATCTTACTAGTCATTTTGCAAGATACTAGTATTCAGTTTATTGTGTAATGTAAAGGCTTAACTTGGTTAATTAGGCCAGTCACTGGACAAAAGTGGTTTGTTCTGTAGCTAATTGAAAAATATATATATATATATATATATATATATATATATATATATATATATATATATATATCTATTATGGGGGCTATTATTGTCCTTAAAAATACATTTTTCATTTAAGAATTTCTTTAATTCCAGTAAAACTAAAAGATTAAGTTTAATATGTCTTTATCTAGATTAATAAGTCTATCTCTAAAAGAAAAATATAATTGTAAATACTTTGAAAGTTTCCTTGTTCCTTTTACATCACTTGGGGATTTAAAAAAAATAATTTCTTGTCCTTTAAGACAATTTTCAAAAACTTTTATGATCCACTTCAAATATTGACTATTCAAATACAAACAATCAACAGTAGCCTGAAACTCATACAGTACAAATGATTAACGTGAACATACATAACTCATGATATATTGCACAAGTTTAATGATATTATTCCAGATACCCGTATAAAGTGTAATGAGGTAAGAGGTACACTTTACCACTGTATACAGGAATGTGTGAAAGTGGAAACCTTTTGGCAAGGTGAAATTACTGACCAAATTTTATTAAATAAATTACCATTGGATCCTAAAATTTCTTTCCATGGATATATATATCCTGTCAGCCCTCTCTTACAAAGCAAAGAGGTCAGATTTATAGACATGTGAATAATACAAGCTAAACGTATTATTGCTCTTAATTGGAAAAATATAAATGAACTTAGAATTAGAAAGTGGATTGAAAAAATTGCATCACATATGTCAATGAAAAAGATCACGTAAAGTCAAAAAGAACCAAAATGTGTTTGAAGATATCTGGAGACCTTTTAAGAACTTCCTAAAGTACAATGTAAATGTTGGCAGTCTGCTACAACAAGAACAGGATAAGAGGGAATAGGGGGAGTATCATGGTCTAAACATAAACTCGGAAAACAGTCTTTACCTGATTTAAACATTTTCTTTCTTTCTTTCTTTTTTTTTTTTTTTTTTAAGGGAATGGGTTGATGGGAGATAGAATAGGGTGTAAAAAGTTTGCTGTGTCTTCATGATCATTATTTTGTAACTGTATAATCTGTTGTGATATGCAAATAAAAAAAGTAATAAATATATTGTACAAAAAAAAGTTGACTACAATGTTGAACAGCTACTCCTACTCACCGCTCCTTATAACAATCTTCAGTGCTCTGAAAGCTCCTCTTCTGGCCTTTATGAGGAACTCTCTCAAGTCTGAAGTTGCTGGTTTCAGCAGAGAGATATGAGGATACAACAAAGATCATACAACAATCATAAAACAGAGCGTAATAATAACAAACTCAATATATCATAACTCATAGATAATCTTAAATAACAGCATTTTGTTTTTTTGACTAAGAAAACGGACTGAAACAAAGGAAATGTTACACTGCTTCCACACTGTGCCTCATTCTTGGCCTCACCATGGCAACAGGGCATCAGGACTCATAAATGATGTAGGTGCAGGTGAGACGGATGAGGAGCGGCGCTTCCGCCCGTCAGCTTAAATTACCTTCCATCATCATCATCATCATTCACATAAAACAGACTAATATTATCACTCCGTTTTCAAAACCTATATCTACACAACAACATATACTACTGTGAGCAAAAGTATGGTTTCTAATACTTGAGCAGAGCTACCAAAAATTCTATTCAAAACAACAACAAAGTTTTAAATAAATCATTTTCATTTGACTTCACATTAATGGATAATCTACGAAAAGTTCATGCAAGTGTATTGATGCAACCTTTAGGTAATGTAATTACAAATGTCTTTCATTTTGCACTTTAATGCAGATTTTTTTTTTTTTTTTTTTGTTCACTAACAACTATACTATAATGTATACAAAAAATAAAACTGCAACATTTTATAATAAGGTTGTATTAGTTAATGTCAGTTAATGTATTTACTAACATAAACAAACTTTGAAAAATCCATTTAATTTAATGGAAAAATGTTGTTCATTGTTAGTGCTTAATTTACAGTGTTTATTTTGTAAAGTGTAATAACAACAAAATAAACAAAAGAAATCATAGATAAATTGAAATAGCTACTTTATTGATGCAATAATGCAAATTATATTAATTATAAAGGAAACTGCATTGGTCCTGTGGGTCACAACTGGTCGTTTTACCTTCTATTGGTGGTATATTTAATTTAATAGGCCTCAGAGCAGATTAGAGACCATTAAAATGTATGCTAACACTTAGTTTATGTCACAATTCATGTTAACTACTGGCTTATTATGTGCCTATTATTAAGGTAAGTTTAAGATTAAGTTTTATCCAAGACCTAACCCCAACTTTTACCTCACTAACTATTAATAAACAGTTAATTAGTAGTTTATTAAGCTAGTAAGGTTAGACAATGGTTTATTAATATCGTGAATTGTGGCCAAAACGAGAGAAACAGATAAAGTGTTACCAAATTAATCAACAGATATAATTTGATGATTTGCAATGGTTTGAAGAGTATTTTTTAAGAGTATTGATGAAATCGTGCTTACCGTGAATCCCCGTCTGATGTGACATCCTGAACCCCGTTGATGCTCCAGCTCAGTAGTGAATTCCAGTTGAGACTCCCAGGTTGTCCTTCTCTATTGTCTTCTTCAGTGGCACTGCTATCTGTGCCCAGCACTGTGGTCCTGCTCACTTCCGCGCAATGACATCAACGCCCCTTGAGCATCTTACCTGGGGAATCCTGTTGGAAACTTGATCTGCGGAACTGAGGAAGATGTGTAGCCTAATATTACACCTGTCAGGGGGAAGAATGGCTTCCAGCACACCTCCTATCCAGTATTATTCACCCGTCATTGGTGGCCCTTATGTGCTATAAAGTGGATGACAGCATCTGATATCTGTGTTGATGAGGCCGATGTTACACAAAACTGAAGTGGCCTACTGTTACTGAGAGTCTGGACATTATCTGTTTCTCTCGCTCTTCCACAAACTGTTATGCAACGCTCCATTTGTGAAAAGAAATGGCACATTTATCGCTCACACACATCGAGGACCTGATAGCAGCATATAAACCGGCGAGCTCAAATTCCAGCAGGCTGACATGAGATACCATGCAGGCGACTGCTGACCCCCAACCAGCAGGACAGAATGTCCATTTAGACGACCCAACTAGCCTTTGAAAAGCATTAGGATGACTAAACTGTCCATTGAGGACTTCTTCAGATTGTGTGTGACTTTTGTTCGGTTTGTTTGAAGGAGAAAGTGTTTGTTGTGTTTCTTAAAAAGTGTTTCCATTCATCAGAGTATAGTTGATAGGAAAGAATAGAGATGAATCAGATATTGTTTATGTGTGCAAAGACAGAAAGGTAGAGAAGTGACATACCTGTGAGTTTGCTAGTGTTGGCTTCATGTTTAATTCACTCAGCTGGAGCACAAACCCAGCCATTATTCATTATTCAGGCGCAGCCCTCCCTTCAAAGATGCTCTGCAAACATAGAGTCCCTTTCTTCTTCACACATGGCACACTTTTTTAATATAACATCAACTGTGCGAATGCGATGTAGTACTAGAAGGAATTCAACTAATATATAGGCCACATTCTGTATGTTTTCAGCATCACAATTAGTTTACTGACTAAACTGAAACATTTTAAAACAAACACTAATTCCATGACTCTTTTTTTATATAGTCAGAAACATAAAGTGGGATGAATGTTGTCTAATGCTTAAAACAAATAAAGTGAATCAAAATATAGTGTGAATAAAATAAATATTTTTTCCATACATTTAAATTTAACATTTGGTTAATGGTTCTAAAATTTAACTGGCTGTGAGAATAGTGAGTGATAACAAAACAGCACTCCTCCAACCGCTTCACTTTTGTATCACTCTGGCAACAGCTTTCTTCGCTGTCAGTGATGGTGGAAGACTAAGCTCACAATAAATTTGCAATGATGTAGCAGTAAAGACTTAATGTAGTTGCAAATTTAAAAATGTGCAGGCGTTTATTGCTTTCCACTTAGAGCAGCATTGCCACTGACACCTATTCTGGAGTCTACCATTGGCTCTTATGTCTGTCTCTGTAGTGGTTAAATTCATTCATTTATTTTCTTTTCGGCTTAATCCCTTTCTTAATCTAGGGTAGCCACAGCGGAATGAACCGCCAACTTATCCAACATATCTTTTAAGCAGCGGATGCCCTTCCAGACGCAACCCAGCACTGGGAAACATCCATACACACTCATACACTATGGACAATTTAGCCTGCATGTCTTTGGACTTCTAGGGGAAACTGGAGGAAACCCATGCAAACACAGGGAGAACATGCAAACTTCACACAGAAACGCCAACTGACCCAGCCGAGGCTTGAATCAGCGACTTTCTTGCTGTGAGGTGAACTTGCTACCCATTGCGCCACTGTGCAGCCTCTGCAGTGGTTAAATATTAAATATAATTAATTTTGGGCATATGCATGATTTAAAATTTGCTCCAGAGCAAATAGGTTTGACAGTTGGGAAGATCAGTTTGATAACTTTATATAAATTAAATGTAATATCAAAAGTAGACCATTGTTCTTTTGACTTATTTGCTAAGCAATTATATTTTACAGAAATAATAGTTGTATTTAATAAAACAATTGTGTATTGCAAAAAGATCGGTGTTACTAGTAGTGATTGACAGGTTATACTATTGTTTCATCATCTGATGGCAACAACAGACTGTAAGTCTGTGCCAAGATATTATAAAGGAGGAAAACTAATGGACATTCAAACAAATACTTGTGAGAAAAAATTGCTCTAAAGATGATTTTGGCTTGAAGAATGAATAAAAAGATTTCTTTTTCTTTTTGTACAATGCTGTAACACAGTATACAAACAACTACATTATATTTATTTGGCTTTGGCATTTATTTGGCTTTAATATTAGTGAAGTTTGGGATGTCATAGCTAAAAACACAGAAACTTCCACTAATGTTACTTGGTTCATGCTGGTTATTTTTAAAGACCCATATTATAATGATAGGCCAATTATGTTTAGGTTTTTGCAACCATAAAATAACATCGCCATAAAGTTCATGCTAGGTTTTTTTTAATGACCTAAAAGTATATTTTTCTGAATGTTGTCTTGCTATCTTTACGCAATTATTTCAGCAGCCAAAATCAAACATTCTGGGAATCAGAAATTGGCTGGGGTCAAACATTTTTGTTTATGCACAAAAACTATCATATTTAAGTTACCAGTAATATAAAATAAAATGCATAATTATCCCAGTTTTTGTATTTGGCATAGGTCAAAAATGTAAACAGGTAATTTTTATATAAATATCTGTATTAGGTGAATGATGATATACTGCGTCATTGTTTTGCCCGTATTTCGAAAATAAAAACATATCGACTATAGACATATCGATAAGTTATGAAAAAATACATTAGTATAGTATTTGATTATAAATTATTAATAACATAAAAATGTTTAAATAGCGTGCTAAAATATACCCCCCCCCCCCACCCCAAACACACACACTCACAAACACTTTATGCCACTACTGTATATCACGCAACCCTGTGACTTTTATTTTGAACTGTAGTTAAGTCATGCTGCCGCTATGCTGTAGGTAGTGTACCCTTGATTATTCGACTTTATCAGTCATTTTCGTATTATATTTATTACATATCCGCCTGTGAGAAATTCAAGATCTCGGAGCACTGGTCGTTGGAAACAGAATTTAACTGAACCATTCATTTTGTGAAAATGCGACACGCACGTGAGGTGACATTTGCGAGACTCATGAGGACATTTGCCACAGTTTCAGACACCCAGACCCTCGCTTCAAAACACAAAACAGCACCGAAAGCATCAGACATCGCCAACAGACTCCGGAAAGAGAAAGAGAAAGAAAAAGATGACAAAAACGAGGTTTGTTATGATTGTTTTTGCAAGTGTGTGTTGTTCATCAGATATGTGTGCAACCATTTATGCTCCGTCTATTTTGTTTCCTCGACAAAGGTTCCGGTGTCCCCTCTCCAGTCCAGAGTGAATGAACTCAAGCAGTTTTCTCAGCAGCTGCAGTCTGTGCACCCGAGTGTGTTCGCAAAAGCCCTTTACAGGAGCTCCCTTTATGAAGACCAAAACATAATCGCCATAAATAAACCATATGACGTTCCTTTGCATAGTGAGTATTGAAATGACATCTCAGCAACACTCACCCAATGTTCATTTTGATTAACTTTAATGTACTATAATAATATTTAGAATGTATTTCATGGTACTAGGTATTATAAAAAAATAAATTATGCACCATTGATGTCTATGTAAAGCTAAACAAAGATAAAACCTATTTGTTTATAATATACTACCATTATATTACCTACTACTGATTTTATGTATAAAAAAAATAATACTAGGTTCTAATACCTAGATTCTAGGTAATTCTTGGTTTGATTCTAAGTTTTTGAATGAACCAAATGAAGTTATTTCTGATAATGAATATTGTGTTGAATAAAAACGAATAATACTTTTTTTACTTTCAAAATCTATTGTTTGTTACCCAGTCTTAATTAGTACAGTGTTTAAGTAAAAATAGAGTAAATAAATTGCAGTGCACAGACAGTAGACTGGTGACTTTTGAGATAAGAAATAAAGGAAATTATATTTAATACCAAGGTTTAACAATTTTTTGTATAGGCGTAGCAGTGCCATATGACAGTATATCGGCACTGGTGGGAGGCATGTGTTAGTGTCCCACCAGTGATGATACACAGCCATATTGCACTGCTACGAGTGTAATATTGCATTTATACAACAGTTCAATAGCATAATCGTGGCAGACAGTATTGCCAGATTGGGCGGTTTTGAATTTGATTGTGCGAGTAAAAATGACAAAATTTGGGCAGTTTTGAAACTTAAATTTTATATGCAACTTATTTAACAAGACATAACTGTGTGCTCCTACTCCATTCAGTTAATAGTGACCAGTGCATAACGCAAACCGCATGGGCCCACCCGCAAGAGGAGGTGAAGGAAAGTAGTTGAAAGACTCCCTTGACAAATCTGACTCCCCTACGCGTGCCCTCACATCACACAGCACCTGAAGTAAAACTCACAGCGCTTTAACATGACACTTTTATCCATCATTTTTTTCCACAATTGACAGCAAGAACAAACATAGAAGCATTGTCTGATTGACAAGCAGGACCTTATTATGTTCAAAATTCCAAATTAAAACGCCTAATGGGAGAAATTTATACCCCATATCGAAAGTAAAACATACTCTAATAGGTAGTGTAATCTGAAATGTGTGGGTGAGATGAAGCAGTGTTTGGATGTAATCCAGTTATGTTGTGGTTCTGTGACTGCTGGTGTTGGTTGCTGTATGGTTAAAAAATTATGACAGTTAAAGTAACTATGTTAATTTCGATTTTAAATAAACAAAATTTAAATGAAAAAAATTATCTGATATTTTGGGCATGTTTTGGATGACTTTGGGCTGGAAAAACTCAGCTATAGCTGGCAACACTGGTGGCGGAACGGAAGTATAACAGGCTGGTGGATGCAGGCGCATTGTATCTCAAAAACTATAAATATTTAAAATAGGCACTATTACACTTACACTATTACACTTATAAATTAACTGCATAGTTGCAAACAACTACATTCTCGCCTGAAAAAGCCTCAAAAGAACATCATGTTGTCCAACAACTGCAATATTTGTCAAACTGTCATGAGTTTATTGAGCTGCTGTCACTGTGGGCGGAGTAAT